ACTGAAAACCAGTGGTTCCATTTTTCTGCTGAAACTCAAAACAATAGTTCGGTAGAATCGAATACAGGAAGTCACATACGTCACGAGAGTATGTCACACTCTTATTGGTGGAGGGATGTCACATGATGATTTGTGTGTGATGCATCTAAATCTGTCAATTGTAAGGTATGTAGGAACTCAAGACTTATGGCATGAAACATTTTTTTTGCATATAGAGGGCAGTACTGAAGGAGAATAGCTATTTATGTGAAAGGAGATAAGTACCTATTGAAAATACATTTTCAATATAGGAAAAATTATAACTTTTGGGGAATCTCCAGGTTCCCTAAGGATGAAAAGTTTTACCTTTGTGCAAACCTTGGGGCCAAGATGATTCATTTTGCACCATTTAGAAGTTTGTGAGTTTATCAGTTTAGGAGAAGGAGTCTTGGGGAATCTCCGAGTTCCCCAAGGGGTGTGGTGAAAATTTACCTTTTTGCAATTCTTGGGACCAAGATAAATTAGGAGGAATTATGCAACAAACACACATACAGACACTAAATCATATTATGATTATACTGAGAGTGTGCTAGATTTACTTTCATTACCAAATGTGCTAGAATGAAAGTTATGAAACTTGCAAAATATTTCTTATTCTTCGTGAAGTTTCATAATTTGATAATATTAATATTATGCCATTTTTCATACATCCATCATATATCAACTATATAAAGTCTACATAGAAAAGACATTCTATCAACAGCTGAAAAATAGTTTAATATTTTTGCATATTGAGCTTTATGTAATTCAAAAGTTATGTTGTTATTGTATTCATAGTAAACACAATTATTTCATTAGGTGGTTATTATTAAAAGTATTTAATTATAGGAGGTATGACAGTGGTTACATGCTACAACAAGCATAAATTATCCAAATTTATTATGGACATGTTAAAAGTAATGAAAATAATTTTTTAAGCTTTGGCAGAAATGAGTTGGTATAATAATAAAACAGGGAAAATTACACAAAGTAGATTCAGTCACATAACAGAATTGCTTAACTCTCTCAACACGGTCAGTCAATTTGACTGAGTCATGTGACCTTTTGTACTTGTTTAAATTTTTTATAGATTTAATACTTATAACTTTGTTCCCTATAGATGGATCTTCACCATGGGGAGATACATATAAATTTTTAGTTTTGCAGTTTTTATGGATGTTTTTGCATTTTTTACCACTACTTTGCCCCTTGTGGATAAATCTTCACTAAATTTGGTATGGAGGTCATTGGGTCCATGTGGAGATACATGCAAATTTGTGGTTTTGCTTTTGTGTTTTGCAGTTTTTATGGGGATTTTTGCATTTTTCTACAATTATATATAAGGGAAGCAACACGTCCTAAGATAAACTTCCATTAATCATGAATTTACATAACTTCTGTCCAGGGGATGGGTACAATAATATAACACCATTAGAGATTAGAGGATTCACAGATAGAGAGCCCTGGGGAGTAATAGCGGGGAATCAGTTACAAATAATGTATACCCTATGTCATTCTGCAGGGTGTTCTAAAGGTGCTTTCAAAGTTTAGTAGAATTGTTTAGGGAACACTTGGGGTTTCCCACGTTTGTGTATGTGTGAATGATATAGAGGGTTTGTCTGAAGCCCTCATTAAAAGATGTGCTGTTTGTATGTGTATGTATGTATAGCATTTTAACCCTTCCATTACAGGCTGGGTGGAATCTATCTAGCTTGTAATCACGAAAGTATCCATGAGAGTAATTATACTATGATTTTTGATAATGTATGCACATCTTTACAAAATTTTGCAGTTTATTGGTAAACATTACAAGGTTTTTGTACACAAAATATCAGGTTTTTAAATTAAATATTGAGATTTTTTAATTAAAGATTTTCTCATAAACCTTTTTCTTTCAGAATGTTGACTATCCAGCATGCAAAGCAATTTTGATTTTAAAATCAAAAAACTTTAATGCATTAAAATATTTTCAAATTTCACATGAGAAATCTTTATAATCTCCAGATAATTATCAAGTTTTTTTAGAAAAAACTTTATATTTTATTTGTTAGTTTCACTACTGTATTTCTATATGGGTTTGTTTGATTTGACTGACTTCATAACCTCAATAAAAAATGAGGAAAAAAATATAAATTATGCTGTTTTTCTTCTAGAATGACTACAAATTATAACACGAAAACACAAATGTTTAGTCTAAATGGCTTAAATCTGATAATATTATACATTTATGTATATATATTTATTATTTTTGTTACATTGACCACCCAGCCATGCCTGGTTAATTGTACAGAAGTTACAATGACGAGGCGCACGTTCACTTGTGTTACTGTATACAGTAATATATAACTGATCTTTAGTCTTTACAAAGTGACCTGTCTTGGGTGTGTTTTAATGGACTAAAAATACAGTCTCATGTCAATTATTATGCATAATATATGTATATACATTATTACTATTTACAAATAAGTTCTTAAACTTATTTTCTTAAGACATAGAACAGTAAATAAAGCATTCAAGCAAACAATTATCTTTTCTAGTTACGACCTTTGTACTTGTTGCAGCTTGTCATAGGTTGTTAAGCCTTATGAAATTTCCCACGTGGCGGATGTGAAAAGAAAATTTTTTTAAGTTTTATATATACATTTTAAATAACCAAAAAATCATACATTACTATATCGATATCATACAATTCCTCTATAATTTATCAAGCGTAGTAACTAAGCTGTATTTGGGTCTAAAAAAATATGAAATTTCGAGCTCACTAAAGACTTTTCTTATCATTTGAAATCTTGTGTGAAAAGAACAAAATTAACACAATAACTTGCCAAATGGCTGAAAAAAACCACTAGGGGGACATTCTGAGCTTTCGATTGGTTATTCTTGTCATATATAAAAGTAAGTGTATACAAGGGACCTTTTCCAAAAATGGAAAGAGGTGGCTGGTGGGGTCTACTGTGTTTGATTCAGTACATGAGCAATATTTCAGCAAGAGATAAGAGGTTCTTATTTTATATTTAGCTTGTCAATATCAGTAGTTTGAGTTTCTAATTCGTACAAAACTGTAGATTTTGTATGTTTACATCACAAACATCTAATTTGAACCAGTGCTGCATTCAACATATCGCATAACACACAAAAATCGTTGTTTGGCTGTGTTTTTTTATATTTACTTTTAAATTAAGAAATAACTAACATATAATACTAAAATTTTAATTATAATCTACAATTTGATACCAAACTTATTGAATAAATTCATAAAATAGTAGTTCAATAAAATTTTTAATGCAAGTCAAGAAACACTATCACATGACCTGTTGCGATAGGGTTAATACATACCTAAATAACTTTGCCACCTGAAATAATTTGTAAGCAATAACTGCTGTATGAATACTAATGATGATGAATAATAGTGTTTTAATGATACCTCCAAAGTTAATGTGTGTCTTTAGATGTTTGTTTATAGTAAACAGTACTAAGATACTGTAACTCTAGTGCACCTCATTATCTTTTTTCCAAGTCACTGCTGTATACCATGACTCCTGTCATGGAATAAAGAGATCTAAAACACAATAAGAAAACTATAGAATGTAATGTATAAAACTATTGCCAAGGCTATTGAGCAGCTATTTATTAAGAAGTTAATATAAAGAAACCAAGAAATAGTTAATGCTGTAAACTCCTTTTCATTTAGTCAGGTACTGATGTTGGTTTGGGTTTCAGTTTTTTTCACGGTTCATATAATGCTGTATATTTTGTGTTAAAAATAATACATGTACACAACATTAGAGTGTAAAAATGACAGTTGTTGCTGCTTGATGGAAAAGCATTAAGAATATTTTAAATATGATTAATTATATTTCAGAAGTCATTAAATGTAATTAAGAAACAAAGTGATTTTTTGGTCTCTTTTTTTTTCTATATACCGTATTTTTTGGAATATAAGATGCACCC